ACGGAGATGTGGGACGTGCATTAGTTCTTCGCCGTTCGTCTATATTCCCTCGGGTGTCGTCAGAGGACTCTTTCCATGCGCCTGTGACTTGTGCCGGGGCATCTGTGGACGAGGCCCAAGCGGGAACTCTTGAGATTCCTATGCATGTGGTGCCTGACTCCATTACGAACACTCGTGATGGTTTGGAGACTAAATATATTCCTATGCCGGTCGAACGAAGTTTCATTAGGGAACCACGGAATGAGCCGAAAATATCAGGCAAGAGTCACCCTATGGGGGCTACTAGTGTTCACCCTGTGGAGTATTCGGTTCCTGACATCCGTAAAACACGGCCTCATCCTGGTGGTTTGCTTTTCACGACATTTGGGAACAATAAAAGTGTTTTGCTTGACCATGCTTTTCCTTTTCAGGTGCATAAGGAAGAAAAATTATTATTTTACTGAACATTGTGGAGCTTTTCCTGCTAGTTTTGGGAGGTGCATAAAGAAGGAAATTTCTTATTTTAATGGACGTAGTGGAGGGAGGAAGAATAATGATGTGGGTGTTTTTGTTGATTTTCCAAATGATGGATCCACCATGGAGGATAATGATTCACGTATGTCACTTTCTGTCAAGCCAACTGGAAAACACGGCTTGTCGGTAGGGACAGAGGAGACGGAGAAATTGCGAGTGATATTGGAAAAGATAAACCCTAATGCGTATCGCCTCCCTTTGTCGTCTCATATTCCTACGTCGGATGTTTTCAACGTCAAATATATTAATCCTTATCGAGGTGGCAATTCTGACAAAGACGAGATCGAGCCGGATTCGAGGGCGAATCCTCCTGAACCGGGGAGGATGATGGAGACGAGATCGCCCTCGCTTATTTGGCGAAATACGATCCCCTTCGGCTTTAGAATGCATGAATAATTATTGTTTTATCTATTCCTTTTATTTCCTTGCTTTTATTTATTTAAATTAGGATGATTATTATTCTTGGCTAGCAAGTAAGATTTAGATGGTAAGGACTCTTCTATTATATATCTAGTATCTCGTGCTTTGTTGAAACAGACTACGATGAATAAAAATTATCTGATTTGAGAATTCTTCTCTTGTTTCCTTCGTTCTTCGCTGCGCCTACATCACTATCGAAGTTGATAAAAAGAATGCCTTCACGTTTGTCTCTACTTTTATGAATTAACATTGCCAGAGAAAAATTCTTTTATCATATATAGAAAATAATAAAAATTGAGAGGAAGATAGCGAATTAACGAACTTTGGGTATGATCTTTGGGTAATAAAACTTCTTTTTTTTCCCCCTTAAAAGAAAGACATCTGTGAAGTTTGTTTTTAATAATGTACACTTTATACAAAGAGGAGGGTGATAACGATTGAACCTTGCTGAACCCAAGCCAGTTTGAGTCCCCTCTAAATGAAAATGCTTTCTTGCTTTCTTTCCATTGTCCACAAAGAACCTACAAAAGTATTGAGATTTAACATTCATTTAACATATGTAGCAACTCAAAAAATCTATTATTTCTTTAACATTCATTTGCTTTTGATGCCTAGACTCACATAGTCTCTAAACGTGATTCCCTAGACTCTACTTAGCGACCTATATTTTTATTATATTGAGCCGATAGACATACTGGATAAATAAACAAAGAAAAAGGCACACCGCAGTACATAAATAAATGAAGAAGGTGATAATGAAGGATCAACCATCAGGAAAAATTGGTACTAAAATGTTAAAAGAATTTACCTCATAATCAACTCCTTGAACATAGATATAATTAGGGTCGACTGATGAAAAAGTCAGTCCAGTTATCTGCAATATACAATAAAATAATGCTGATGAAGCGAAATATTATACAGTTCGAAGCTAAATTCTTTGCCAAAAATAAATTAGAAAAAGATTTTCAAAAGAAAATCACAAATGAAGACGTTTTTGTCCCAACTAAAAGTCACAAATATAATCTTTTTGCCGACTAACATCACTGGACAACAATTAGGAAACAGAACTCTCTTAACCAAACCATAATTTTGTTCAGCACAGTTAAGACCAATGGACACCATATAGGAGAAAATATAAAAAGAATTGATAAGAATCCACATGACCGACAAAAATAAAGCGATGCATGCAAAACACTGACCTCATATTTCGAGCAGTTTAACCATCCAGATATTGCGCACCATCTGCAATACCAGGCTTGAGTTAGCAGCAAATTACTTCCAAAAACAAGTTTCCCATCAGATCAGTAAAGAAAGTCAACCAAAACTAAGTCCTAAATCAATTAGATGACAAAGAAAGAAAGAAAAACAAGACTGAAAAAGCTAAAAATCCTGCAAAAACATACAATTTGAAATTTAACCTTGACGTTTAAGCCTCGTTACTCGCATAAACGAAAGAAAAAAATAATAATATCTTTTAAATAGAATCACCCCTCCAGATTAGTGTTTGTGAACAAATAAGTGCACTTTAAAAGAGGAAATAAATATTGATCGACTATTTGTAATACACGAAAAAGACAGCTAACTAAGTAACCTACGCGGATCATATATAGTCACAGTGCAGTCAGCCCCACCAGTAGCAACATAACCATTTGAAGATACAGTCGCTGAATATAAAATATCTCCAACAGAACCCGAAATTCCATGCACACAACCCCCATTCTCTTTCACTCGTAAGTCCCATATACTCAGCTGCATTGTCATTATGCAAATATATTTATCATCATAAGAGAATAAGTAACATTTCATTTTCAAAGTGTATTTGTTTATTTATTTACTTATATTTCCTTTCATTTTGTATTTTTTTATTTTTTATTTTTAAATATAAACATGGAAAAGCATTCAAGTTAAATACCTGGGACCCTTCTGTGATGGCCAACATTGAACTCGCACTCTCACTTGAATTACCCATAAAAGTTAGTGAAGACAGATAACATAATCTGTAACATACATATTTTTACAGATCAGAAACAAAATAATATAATCGCAAAATATAGCCCTAAAAGGTGAATGCTATTAACGGGAACAAAGACAGTCTAAAGGGGTTGAGTTTTTCTATAAATGCTTATATCGAGCTTGGTCACCATTGTTACATGAGCATAAATAACATCAAATTATGGTGATCCAAAGACTGGAGCCAGATACTGCATTTCTTTGGGTCTAGCAAAAAAGATACAGTTGAAGAAAATAGTAATTCGAAATATAGATGGAGTAGAAAGCACAAGAACATTAAAAAAAAAGGAAATGTATTACAATAAGAATTCACGTTTGTGAAGTGCGGAGATAAATATCTTGGTCATAAATATCAATGCTCTTGCAAAATCTCCGTGCCACAGCTGCCTGAACCATGATCAGGTACTCAGATTCATAAATAAGTGAACTGATACTTTAGTAAAATATATACATATTTTGCAGATGTTACCAACTCAAATTGAAATTTGTACAATTTAAGTTTCTTACATAAGATAATAAAATTGCAGAGCACGTGAAAATATCCAACACCCTTTTTTTTCCGACAGCAGTTTCTGATTGTCTAAGGTTAAGGCTATTGTTGTACCACCACACCGATCCTTGTGCTCATCCTTGTGTTATCCGTAAAGGTTCCGACGCTTGGAATTACGGTCACGACCATACAGTCTAGTGACTGTTGCTGGCAGCGGGTAGTGGTTGTTGGGGAAGCATCTTGGCGTGGCGTTTCTGCTAAGCAGTAGTTTCTTCCTAATGGCGTCGGAGGGAGAGCTATTGGCGCTCCTCTTTGGTGAGGAAGACCTACTTCTTCTACCTAGATTCGTCATCCACCACCTCATTCGCGACCCTCTTCATTCACACCAAAATAAAATTCAATTCGAAAAAAAAAAAGGATCAGCGATTGTTTGTTCTTCACAAACTGGAAATTAGGACAGGAGAAAATGAGAACAATTTCAGACTCACATTGTCAAAAGCAAAAAAACGGACGCCGCTTACCTTATGGCTACCCAAATCCACCTTCAACCGGAATTGCTTTGTTGTCCTTCTCTATCTTGTGGGTAGGCGAAGTACTGTGACGGCGACAGTGGGAACGGTGTTGATTTTGTTACTATTTGCTTTTTTTCTGAAGACCGTGAGATTCGTACATTTAAGCTTATCAGATTAAAGGGTTTCAGAAGATTTTCTAAAACCAATCGGTGGAAAACGTTTAGAGATTGTGGCAGAAGAATACTTACAGGACCTTGTGGACAGAAACCTTGTATTAGTTCATAAGTTGGTTGTAGGAATATAAAATGTTGCAAAATCCATGACCTGTTGCGGTACCTGTAGTTGAAAAAAGCCCAGAGAGATAAGTTTCTCCGTATACAACGGCCACACGACACCAAAATCCAACGGCGCATAGTTTCTCTCAAGAAGTTAACTTTATGGGGCTTTGAGTCGAGTTGGGAAGAGATGGAGAGCTTGGATCTTTGCCGCAACATCAAGTGCATAAACTGCGTCTTTGCCAGTTTGGACCAAACTGGAGAAGGAACAACCAGTGGTCAATTCCGGCAGCTCAAGTGCGTTGAAAATTATCAAGTGCCTTGATCTGATTAACTGGATTACAGACAACAGAGACTTTCACAACTTTATCTTGAGGGATTATATAGTCTGGACTGGAGGAGATTCCTCGGGTGATTGGAGGTAAATTGTGGTGGATTATAGCACCAAGTCCGGTTGTGGATACTGCCAAGATAATAGTAGGTAGATTAACAAGGGGATCTTGGCAACGAAGGCCTTGTTCACTATGAATATCTTGTAATTCTTTAATATACATTTCTATTAGAAACAAGCAACAATCTGTATGATTGAGTGAATGTGTTCATTCCCTCTCTTTTTTTATGTTACTATTATATTAGGTGCACATACTTGGCCGAAGACAATGATTGAGATGTACGTTCCGACTGTGATGGACGGCATAACCCCGATTCTTAACACCCATCAGCCGCCTATGAAATAGCTTGAAATCTCGCTCTCGGGGTGAGATTCAACTGCAAAAGCCACAACTGCAGAATTTCCTCACCTTTACTCTTCACATATTTTACGAGTACCTTTGCACGCCCCTTTTCTTTACGAAATTTTGTGCTTGTGGAAATTCAGATGCCAGTTAAGTGTCCTGTATTGTCAAGCAAAGGAAAGTCCAAGGAAGAGACTATTTTGAGGTTTCATGGAAAAAGATGGACGGCCTAGATTCATCCATTGTACCAGCTGATCTTGTTACTTGAGAGGTATCATTTTACTTAGAGATTGATAAATCTAGCTGATAGCTTATGATTTATGGCTGAAAAACTAGTTTATATTATAACAGTGTTCGGTAAATTTAGTTTATCAAAATAAAAATTTCAATGGGCTTATTTGAAAAACTACTAAAGGAAGCTTATGAGATAAACTCGAACTTTTTAAAAAAGTTGATCCTATCAAACCAAGCTTATTTGAATACATGAAGTTTATAAGCTAATCAAATAAGTTATAAGCTAGCTTATATGAACACAACCTTATTTACTTTTGACCTTTTTTTCCCCTCGGTTTTTTGGAGTCATTTTCGCTTGATTTCATCTCTCTAAGTCGGGTCGATCAAATTTGTTGATGTAAACAATCTCTTAAAATTACAACTCCTGACTTTCAAAGATTAATTCCAAAATGGCCACAGATTATTATTTGGGTATTTGTAATATTTTGAATAAGCTTATAAAGATTCAAGACTAGAACTTGGTGTTATCTTCAAAATTCCATGCATGTGTGTGACATTATTGTTCACTTTCTGCTTTGTTTTTTCTCAGCGCTTGTCCTGAAAAGATATGGAGTTCCATGAAAAAAAAGCTCACAAACAAAAACCCACTAAAAAAAATCGAGAGCGGTTAAAGTTGACATGAAATCCGACACGATTGATGTCCATAGAAAACTCCAAGAACTACTGCTCGACATTGAACGAGACAGTTGTACCATGAATAACGGCACAACCTGTCTCGTTGGCTTGGATTACCAGCAAAGCGCGATTATGAGCCTTAATTATTCTGAGTCAAAAGGTAAATGCCCTCTTAGTTCATCTTCTTCTAGTGGTTCAAGATCCATAGGGAAGGATATTATCGATCTCATTAGTCCACTGCCAAAACAAATTATTGCACGTGGGGTTTCTAATTTCTGAGAGAAGGAATTTTTGGACGTGATTGAGTTGAGTGATACGGATAATGACGTGTCGCCTGATAACATGAGGAAGGCAAAGGAGTTGAGGATGTTCATAGTGAATATCAGAGATCAGATCTCTTGATTGATGATGATGAATTTGATTATGTAGTGTGTGAAAATATGTTTGATTTTATCGTGTATTCATAGGATGGTGAAATTACAGCCGGCATAAAAGTTGAGGAAATTGTGATTCATGTTGTGTATTGTGTTATGCAGAGAAATATGTAGATGCACGTATCTCAGCTGCAAATTGATGAATTAATGGATTTCATATGGTACATTTGAAATGCTTTTATGCGGAGGAAAAGAAATAAAATGCAATTTGATTCTTGGTCTTGTTTAAAATATTAAAAAAAATACTATGAAAAATGTTTATTTCAATATTAACTCAATTTCACTATCATCGACATTATCAATATAAATAATAATACTTCTTGATGCTAAAAAATGTCTAAAAAAAAAAAATGAACTGTACTTTTGGGTACTTAGGTCACAAGAATAAATATATGATTTAAACTACAAAAGCAAGAATAAATCATAAATTAATGCCTCTTAGATAATTAAAATGTTCTCTTTTTTTTTAGAATGAATGTTGCTTTCTCTTTTCTCCATCATTGAAGCTTTATTTATAATATAATTAAAATTTTCTCTTTTTTAGAATGAACTAGTAATCACCCGTGGGATGCACGGGAAAATTATATGTATATGTGCTTTTTAGAAGATAATT